AATATTTTGCCTGTATATAGCTCAGACCTCTGTTCATGGGCTCAACTAGAATTTTTAATAAATTCACATTATTTTCAGTTACAACCAATATAAATAATTATCGGCGTTTTTCTCTTAAAATTTCTCCCCTCTGTTGTCGTAAAACATGGATAAACCCACTTCTAAGTTATATATTTCAAAAATTATACTTGAGCCTCTGTATAGAGGTCTAAGCTATATACAGGCCAAATATTATTATAATAGAAGCATTTTTCACAAAAGGAGAATATTTTGAAAATGGGTCATTCTATGTTCATTTTTTGTCAAAATATTGTACTTAAATAATTTTTTATTGTAATACTATACTCAAAACAATTTTATATACATTTTCTAATGTAAGTGACGCTAAATTTTATAAATATTATCCATTTTCGCTTTTGTAAAATCATGGTTCCGAACGTAGTCGGATGCCTTAAGTGACTTTAACTGCGAGCACTAACTTAAGATGAAAAGGGTTCACATTTTTTGAATGTACTTTCACTTGTGCCTCATTTTGTATATTATTATATTTGTGGCTAATATTATTATGTTTCTATCTTACATTTTGATTTAAACACGGACTTAAAAGCATTGATTATTGTAGTCTTGTAGGTAAGTACATATTTCGTGTTTATTATTAAGTTATAATAATTATTTTAGACCTTTTTCTTAGCTCGCCACACCTACGCCACCGGATGGACCACGACACCTTGAAAAAATTAGAAGTAGCCCGTACCGAGGAAAACTTTGCCCACCCCGCCTTAAAGTTACATGAAGAGTATTGGGGACAAACCTCATAATTCTGAACCACATTAAAACGACGAGAACGACACATGAGCGGATCTCCGACGAGAGAGGTGCAGGATATAGAGAATATGTGCATGTTAATATCACCGTTATATTTCAAACTATATGACAGTGATAACACAACATCAAATTTTGAAAAGAAAAATCTCTCTATATGTTTCATTTTTATTTTAATTTTTTTTTTACTTTTGCTCTTTATATATGTATATTAAAATCATTTTCCCCGGTTAAATATATAAATTAGAAATTGGTGAAATAATATTTGTCTGTGGATGCTGAACAGTTTTTAAAATGCTTTTGAAATAGTATTTTTAAAATTGAAATGGTTGCAAAAGTATCTGTTTTGAATGAAATGTTGCTTCAATAGGTAAAAACAAAGCATTACGGTACAAAAATCTGGGAAATAAACTAAAAGTTCTTTTTACGTTACATAATTTGTAAGTATTTCTAGCTCAATCTTAATTATTTACCATATTATTTTTTGTGATTTTATCATTTTAATTTTTGTTTTATCCTTTAAATCGTCAGAAGGCTTATTCAATGCCCATCGGCTTATAAAGTAAAATTTTTGCATAATTACTCTTTTAAATTGGTTTGTGAATAATAATCGCTATTTCCGGTCTAAACAATTCGTCAGTTGATTGGGGGCAAAAGAATTCTTATGATTGGCACAACAATTTTAAAATAATAAGATTTTAAAACCTTAGCCATATATCCCTAACCCATTTTCATTTGTAATTATTTTTAACTTCCTTACTTCTCTTAAATTCAAAAGAAACCTCAAGTCATTGAATTTTAAATTTGAAAATATGTATTAAAGATATACAGAAAAAGATATCGAAAATAACCTAATTTGTTTTAAATATTGTTTCCCATAAATATAAATGCAAAATAAACAGCCGTAAAAAGAATTCCACACCTAATATTCCAAACGATCCACCAAAAAAAATCGCAATGAATCGCATTTAACACACACACACACAAGTAATATATAAAAAAATCAAGTCAATTCCTACTTAGGTCAACCAAGAAAATTTTGTTTTAGTTATTTTTTACTAAACAGTTACAATTAATATAAATATCACAATATTAAGTTACAAAACAGAAAGCGATTTTCCTTGAAATTTTCTATTTCCCTTTCCATGTATGGATTTGGACTAATTTTTTTGTTACAATTTTTTCATAAAAAATTTGATAATTCTAATAAAGTAGTATAGTAAAAAAAATCACGTTCTCACATAAATTAGGCCATCCCAAGTGGGATTCGAACCAACGACATTTGAATCCAACGCGCTACCCATTGAGCCACAGGGACACAACGAACAATTTTCCTTTTTATATATACTGTCGGACTATTATTTTTGTTTGTTATTAGTTATTCATTTTTTAATTTAATGAATGAATTAATATTTGAAAAAACTATATTAACATCCAGTGTCATCCACTACAAGTTTAAAAATATATATTTGCACTTGAATTGATGAATAGGATGTATTTTATTAACGATTGAAAACTTGAGCAAGATATATATATATAGTCTAATTCTCTACCAACAAGAGATAAACAATCATCAATCACATTCGAAAAAAACATATAGACAGTAGAAAGATCATATATATATATATATATATATACATATCAAGAGAGAGTGAACTAATAGTAGGAATTGAAAAAAATGAACACTTGTACATCTCAGCTGCTGCTAACTCTATTATTTCCACTACAAATTAAGACAAACTAAAATGCTAATTTAACTTTACGTTCCATAGCGTTTCATCTTTTAATGGGCTTCTCTTAGAAAATTTTAGCTTAGGGATGAACTTAAAATTTGCACTAATCTGATGAACATACATATTTTTTAAGGATTTAATGATTTTGGGTTCAATGCATTTGAGATAACCAGTGGCGTAACGGAGAATATTGTCTCCCCTCCTCACTGCAATGTCAAGTTTTAGACCCCTAATACGTACTTGGTATCAGCCAGGCCTTAGGCCCCGGGAATCCTAGACCCCCCCAGCAATGCAGGTGTTGGAAAGGTGTACATTACACCACTGGAGATAGGCATTATTTACAGATTTTATAAGAAGCGTATTTGCTATAAAGGAAAAAGGCTGTGGGTGCGCCTTGTTCCTCAAATTAAAGTTTTTTTTTATTTATTAATTTTTTTTAAAAGAAAAAAGGTTTCAATATATAAAATTTTATAATTTATCTTAAATTATATAACATTTTTCTAATTGTATTTTTCGGATTTCAGGTATAAAATTAAAAATAGGAATGTATTTTAAATAATTTAATTGGTACAAAGGGTTTTTTTATAGTTTTCATCATTCAAAACAAATATTATTAAAGATATTCAAATTTTTACCCCTAAGTGCTTAAACTGATACAATGTACAATTACCGTATTTATTCGAATCTAAGCTGCCATCGATTCTAAATTCCTATAAAAAATGAAAAATAGTATAAAATGTGGTTTATCGATATCCAATTTTACGAAATTAAAATAAATTTAAGATGAGAATCAATAATTGAATAATTAGTTATTTTACCAGTATTCTAAACTTTTAAATACATACATGAACCTTTAATTGCTCCAATTGTCCCATTTAATAATTTTTTTCCTTCTATTCTAAGCCGTTCTCTATTTTCAGTAGCATAAACATTGACGACTTAGATGCGAATAAATACAATAATTATATTTTGAGATGCAAAGTATTTAAACATATTGCATTCAACTTCTCAAGAAGAAATCTTCAAACCAAAATGATAAAATATTTTCCAGCCTTACAATATGCTCATGAAAATTTTTCAGCTGATTGCTTTTTTAAAATGTACTAAAATAATTTGGCAATTACAGCTATTGACTGTATAAATAAAAAAATAATGTAGCTATATTAATCTTAATTTCACACACTAGGATTTTAACGTATATTCTGTCACTTTTCACCAATATATTTCCCAAGCTTTCTATTCTTGGGATCTATTAACGTTGAACTAAGTGATCCAAAAAATATTCCTGTTGGGGGAAATGAATTAAGAATAGGGGACAAAAATTCATGCATCCGAAATGAAAATTCAAGTTTTGTATATTAAAATATTTGACTATACAAAGTTATTCATTGGTGTATATACCAAATAAAAAATGCATAATTTTTACTTACCGTACATATATTTCAGTAGTTTTTTCAAGTAAACGAACAGCATCTAGCAACTTTGTCTTTAGAGAGGAAAAAGTAGTCGCCACCTACTCTTCATTTCCTGTTGGTATGCTTAGTTTTTCAAAGGTGTCCTCCTCTACATGCATAGGTAAATAAATAAATAAAAAGGTAAGTACATTCAAACTTTTATTTTACATGTGTCAAATAGCGTGAGGAGGCATCTGGACTCTTTCCATTGGATCACGGGAAAGGATCAGATGCTATTCCAGAGGGGGAGGAGGAGAAAGTTATAAAGTTTTCGGTAATTGCCTTCTTTTAATGCTCCTCCACGCATCTCATTCGTCACTTTGATAGACTTGGTACCTTTTATTGATACCTTTGAATGATTACCGCAATAACACGGTTCCCGGCTTTAGGAAGATTGTAATAAAAATTTTAAAACTTGATTATATATGCTCTTAAAATTTGGTAAGAGGCTCGTAAATTTGGTGAAAGTCTTGTCAACAATTTGTCGAATCAAATACTTCAGTTCAGTAGTAAATTTATTTAAAAAATTCAGAATTACCATAAAATCCGTATAACACGTTTTTATACTTTCAAGCTGCAATTTTTAATTTTTAGGTCTATTCGCCGTATAACGCGCCCCTCCTTTTTATGAAATAACCTGAAATATGCTCTTATGTTTTTAAGTCATTTATTCAAGGTATTACTCCCCCAGCTTTACAAAACAAATAATATAAAAAAAAATTAAATCAATTCCTACTTAGGTCAACAAAGAAAAATTTAATTTGATTACTTTTTTATTAAATAGTTGCAATTAATATAAATATGCACAGGACAGAATCACGCTATTAAGTGGCAAAATAGAAAGCGATTTTCCTTGCAAGTTTCCACTTTCCTTTCTACATAGGGTGTGATGGGCTATTTTTTTTTTTGTTTGTGTTACTCTATTTATTTATTCATTATAAATTTAATTTTTCTAATATAATAAAAGAAATCCTATTCTCAGAAATTAGGCAATCCCTGGCGGGATTCGAACCTACTACCTTTGGATTAGAAGTCCAACGCGCTATTCATTGCGCTACAGGGACACAACGAGCAATTTTCCATTCTATATATGCTCTTGGACTATTATTTTGGTTGTATCTATGTATTCATTATTTAATTGAATCACTATTTGAAATAATTAATTAATTATATTTAATTAATATTTGAAAAGTGTATTAACATCCAGTGTCACATCTTCTACACGTTTAAGAAAATGTATATGAACTTGAATAGATGAATAGAAAGTATTTTATTAACGATTGAAAATTTGAACACGATATATATATATATATATATATATATATATATAGGAGAGAAGTGAATTAATAGTAGGAATTGAAAAATAGTAAGTACAAATTTAGTACTACAACCCTTTAAATTCGAAATGTGACTTTCCCATCTTTTTAAATAAACAACATTTCGATCTTTGTAGCAGTCTAATTTTTTTCTGTATTTTTAAAACTTTAAAACCGGCGTATAACGCGCATCCGTTCATTGAGATCTTATTTCGTGTTAAAATTGCGCCGGATTTTACGGTAATTATTCGAATTTGTGGAAAGATTTTTATAATATTGAACATCTTCATTAAACTTCTTTCACTTATAGCTTTGAAGTAACAAATATTGTATTAAAAGAATGAGTGAGCGTTGCAATGCAAAGCAGTACGACGGATTATGGTGACTAACCTCGTAATTTTAAACCTCGATCAAGCGACGATGACAGCTCTCAAGCTGGCACCTCCCTCTCTTAACTACCCCACAACACAAACGAAAGGACATTGATCATCGTAAGATTTGACGTGCATAGGCCTCCTCTATGGGGTTGGTCATTAGTGACATCAGGAATCGAACCCGCGACACTCCGGTCCATGGCTTCGTGACCATAACCACTAAGTTACTATGGCTACTGTATTTAAAGTAAACTGGTAGAATGAATTTTTATTGCAAAGCATATTACGCACACAATCCACTTTTTCGTTATTATAGTTTTTTGGAACAATTAAAATCTTGATTGTTTTACCAGTGAACTTAGGAAATGATCAAGGAAGCTGCGTAATATTTTGTGAAACATTTAAAGGGGATAAAATACGTGTAAATAATTAAAATATTTTTTGTAAACATCATAAATTTTATTTTTAATATATACACCCACGTTACACATTCTTTCTCACCCTTTTTCATACGTTCTTTTTTTACACAATTTTGAAATGACAGGGTTTGAAATGACACGAATTTCACGATTTTTTTTACACTAATTTTTGGTTGTAGCACGAATCTCAAAAAAACTGGAGGATTCGCGTCCTTAGGATGAGGATGATTTCATATAATTTATGACAGTTTATGATTATAAAGAAGTCCAATAAATGACTCAGTTGAAGATGTTCTGCTATTAAAAGCTGATTTTATTTTGCTACAAGTATGGAACAACATTTTCTTATTCATGATCCTGACATAGAGTGTGCATTACAATTCCAACGTAATGAAGTTTTGTGTACCTGGATATCAAGTATTATACAAGCAACTTGAGAAGTAAAAAAACTGCAGCTAATAACAGACTTTGTATCAACAAAGAAATAATATAAAAAAAATTAAATCAATTCATACTTTAAATGGATGAATAGAAAGTATTTTATTAACGATTGAAAATTGCAATAAGATATATATATAATAATAATAATATTATATATATATCTTATTATATATATATATATATATCTTATTATATATATATATATCTTATTATATATATATATCTTATTTTATATATATATATCTCTTATTATATATATATATATATCTTATTATATATATATATATATATATATATATATATATATATATATATATCTTATTAATTTTTTATATTACTTTCTTACTTTTTCCGGAATACCTATAATTAATACAGACAAATTTTAACTCGAACAAAGTTGAATTTTTAGATTTAGCTTTAAATATTATTGACAACAAATTATATAGCAATATCTATGATAAAAGGGAAGCTTTTAACTGCAATGTCATAAAGATACCGAACTTCAATATTTGTCTACATATATCAATATTTAGAAATATAATTTTAAATTTTTTGATGAGAAATAATAATTTAACTACACGCAATATTGATAAATTCAAGAATATCCAGAAATTTATATTTTGTTGCATACAGAATGATTATCCCATCAACTTCTTGAGAAAATATATAGATCAAAAATATTTCTTAAAAATATTTTTAAACTCATAAATGTATAAATCCACCACACAATATTAGGTCCAGAAAGTCAGCTTGTTAGTGGTCCAGCTGTGAAGAATATGTGCATTCCACACAAAGAATACATTTTAATACACACAGAGACACGCGCGAATATTTACAAAACTACTTTTAAAATTATTTATGACCAATCAAACGTTTATGACTAATCAAGCAAGTTTTTGGCATGCAATCTGATTTGCATCTAATACCAAATAGTTAAACTCTAATGTGATATTATGAATCATTTGGATTGACATGGCATTAGTGGGAGTTATGAGCAAAATATAGGAGTGGTAATTGTTGCATTAAATATGAGAAATCGTTCAAAAATTGTGGATTGAATTATTGATAGTATGCTCTTTGGTGAGTTTTTAATGATTTATTCTATTCATTTGTGAACATACTGGTTTTTAATTTGAACTTTCGTATTTTAGATATTTTTTCTACCTATACAACTATTTTAAAGATGGGTGCATCATCTTTGGTGTTCGATAGTTCACTTATATTATGCTCTAAATTGTTTTAGAATTTTAATATTTTAATATTATAATATCTTTCAGAATGCGATGGCAAATAGTTTAATTTTTCAAATTTAATGGTTTAGTTTTAACTTTTTAATTTTTAAATTTTTGAGAATTCGATATATTTTCCGATTAACTTACCATTTTGCAATAGGGGGAAGGTTGGCGCCATCAAACTAGTTTAACCCTACTTATCGATCCTAAGTCCGAGGTTGTACTTGGATATTTTATAAATTTTTATTTTTTAATTTGTTTGAAAACGTTGGAATCTTATCTATATTCGCCATTGATTTTTTGAAATGGGATTTAGTATTATAAGATTCATATAATTTCAATTTTTTAATTGATTATTAAGTTGTGATTGATTTATATATATAGGGAGAGAGTGAACTAATAGTAGGAATTGAAAAAAAGAGCATGATTTGTCTGCATTGTTGTAACAATGCAAACGCAGTTTGGCTGAAAAACAGGTTTTCGACGCCAACTTTTGTCTTTGTTTTAACAGTTACATTGTTACAACAATATAGACGAATCTAAGTTGGCATCAAAACCCAGTAATTAATTTAATTACATTGAATTAATGAATTAATATTTGAAAAACTTATTAACATCAAGTGTCATCCACTACAAGTTTAAAAAAAATATTTGAGCTTGATTGGATGAATAGAAATTATTTTATTAACGATTAAAAATTTGAACAAGATAAATAAATATATAAATAGAGAGAGAGAGTGAGCTAATAGTATAAATTTAAAAAAACCATTCGAGGTCGTAAATAACGAACGAAATGCTTCATTTGAATCAAAACCGACAGTTGTAGTAGACCTATCTGCCCATAATAGCATATTTGATCCAGTTCGTAATAACCGTGCACGCTTGTTATCAAGTAGCGATGACTAGCTGTTAGTTTGTAGTTTTACTCCTAATTTCAATTTGAAATTTTTGTACTTATAGACTGTGTGTGTGAATATTCACTGTACGCTAGTTTAATTTTTTTTGTTATAAAAATAAATTGTTTTATAAATATCTAATATGTATTTTATTATAACTTCTTTTTTGCATGATTTTTGGGGAAAATATTTAGAGTTTTTTCATCGTATACGATTTTTAACGTTGTGAAACATATCCTCAAATTCGCCATACATCGCATGTATTTTTTTACGCATTTTTTTTCTTTTTTGCACGGATTTTTGAATCAACGTATCTACGGTGTAAAAGAAAGAGTTGGTTGCATATTTAGAATTTTTACGCAAAGCTATCTTTCCGATTGAATTGTATGAATTGAAATGGATTATAGAGCTGAATTTCGAATTTATAAGCGAACTCTAAAAAGTTCTTTGGCATCGTTTATTCTTACTTTAAACAGGATAGATGTAGATAGCATGTTTTGCAGTATTACTCGTAAAAATTGATTATAATTTTTATTCATTACCTCATTAATTACTCGGGAAGAGACGATTTTCAAAACAGTTTGCACCTAGAATTCAACTCCATTTCAAATACATATCCTATTCGTTAAATAGCTTTTAACAGAGAGACGTAAAACATAGAAAAGGTATAACAATAAAACACTTTTTAAGTACCTTCTCCATTCTCACGAAAGATCTTTAAAGAAAAATAAATCAAAAAGCCCTTAGAAAAAGATACAATTGTGATTTATGTTTGTTTTTCTTCAAAGCAAAATTGCAATTAGCTACTCCACAAATGGTTTGAAGAATAAGTTACAAAATTTATGAAAGGAGTTTTTTGTTGTTCTATAATTACGAGTTGTAAAAAAAAATCAAGTTTCAAGAGTTTCATAAAGTCATGTTTATTTATGATGAAAGAAAATTCGAAAAATAATAGAAGCGCTTTATTTTTTTAAGAAAAGCAATGCATTATTTAAAACTACTCAATGAAAATGCGCGTAAATAAACATTAAAAAGGTGAAAATTTTCGTTATAATATTTAACACTTTTCCTTGATAATTTATAAAGAAAATTACTCTAAAAATGGAGGGATAATAGCTGGGAAAGTTTGAAAATGTATTTGCCTTGAGATAGTTTCTTTACCGAAATTGCTACTTATTTAAAAGTATTGAACTCGATGCACCTATATGAAGAAAAGAAGATGAAATTTTTCACTGCTTTGGTGAACAGCACTGTGTATAGCAGAATATCAAGTAAATAACATTTTAGACCTAGTTTCGAACAGTATACAAAAAAAAATATTACAAAAATATTTTAGCTATAAAAAAAATCTAAAACCTCGAGTAACTTCCAAATGAGTAAAAATGC